GATCATGACCTGAGCCGAAGGCAGATGCTCAATGACTGAGCCACCCAGGCGCCCCAAGAGACTTTTTAACAGATGATTTTTACAATCGAATGAAAAATTGTAGTATCAGAAGTAAAGCCCCCACATGGAATGACTGTTTTAACTAATCTTTTCATGATTAAACCTTTACTGCTTAAGGTCTGTTGCAGAGTCAGGAAAATGTATACAGTTTTTGAATTCTGTGGCCTTGGCTATAATTTGTCACTGGTAAATTACGCTTGGCCGAGTAGTATTTTTCTGAGTGACAGAGAAGTGTTAGCCTTTGGTACTTTCAGATTCTTTTCTAAGGAGTAGAATCTCTTGGAAAGTCGGAAGTGGATCACACTCTCAGCAGGAAAAAAAAATGCACTTATTGGTAGCTTTTTTTTTTTTTTTTCTTCTGCCTTTCAGAATCTTTGCCAAGAACTGGAAGCAAAGTTTTATGAAGGGACTTTTAATTGGGAAAGTGTCAAACAGCATGATGCGGCCAGCCTGCTGAAGCTCTTCATCCGGGAGCTGCCCCAGCCGCTGCTCAGTGTAGAATATCTCAAAGCCTTTCAAGCCGTCCAGAGTAAGTCTCTCTTTGAGGCAGCCCTGGTGCTGGTACCATCCATTTTAATTGTTTTAATGACACTTTGCCTCACAAAGAATATAACTGGATGTATTCGGAGAGACGCACTGACTCTCTGTCAACAGCAGCTCAAATGCCATACATTGTTGTCCTTTTCCTTTATAAATATACATCTCTGAGTAAATGGATGACAGAATGTTCTCGTCAGGTACAGACCAATTGCGTGCCCATTAAACCATACAATATATTTTCTTGTTAAAAGTTGGAACTTCACATTTCTTGTATAATAGAATGAGTCATGTAAGATTTGATACATTTTTCTTGCCAAGTGTTAAAAGCAACACTTACTGGAGAAGCTGTGGATTAACAGTTATCATCAATGCACAAGGAGATGAGGCAGAGTCTGTGATTATTTCCTGAAAAATTAAGTTCTGAAATTGTCATGCAGAAACGTGGAACAAATTATTTGGCTGCCTCCTTGGAGGAGGGCTACAGACTTCTTCTGCCTTGCCATTTTGGGGTCTTGGGCAAGCTCCAAATTAATGTCTCGAATAGTTCTTGATTCTTTTCCAGTGAACACAGAGGTCTTACAAGGTTTATGTACTGGTATAATTACTCCTTTTAGTCCTAGTGGCCATTAGAAGAGGAAAAATGCCATCACCATATTCTAATGACCATATCTTTAACTTCCCAGCTGGGACACTCTGAGAGGGAAAGGGTACCACTGTTGATGATTATGGTGAGCTACAATGTCCACCAGGACTATTCCGGGCTATTCTGATTTTTTTTTAAATTGAGATGATAATTGACCTACAACATTATGTACAGCATAATGGTTCAGTATTTGTATATATTATTGAAGTGATCATCACAGTAAGTCTGGTTAACATCCATTACCACACACAGTTACAGAATTTTTTTCTCTTGTGATGAGAACTCTTAAGATCTACTCTCTTAGCAACTTTCAAATATGCAATATATTGTTATCAACTGTAGTCGCCCTGCTGTGCATTACGTCCCGATGACTTAACTATTTTATAACTGGAAATTTGTACCTTTTGATGCCCTTCACCTAATTTGTCCACTCCCCTCCCAACCCCAGTTTCTACCAGTCATTCTGTATCTATGAACTTATTTTTGTTTTGTTGTTTGTTTTCTAAGATCCCACATATAAGTGAAATCATGGTATTTGTCTTTGTCTTATTTTACTTAGTAAAATGCCTTCAAGTTTCATTCATGTTGTTGCAAATGGCAAGATTTCTTTATGACTGAGTAATATTCCATTGTTTCCAGCCTATTCTGAGTAATATTCCATTGTTTTCCAGGCTATCCTTAAAGCGTATAATATTGAGATGATTCCCATGTGTCCTCTCATATCATAACATTTCTTCAGAATTTCTAGGAGAGACATGACTAAAATCATCTTGTGTTTAAAATACTTATAATGCTTAAGTTATGCTGTTTTGTGTACATTCTTTAGATATGGATTCAAAAACAAATCGATTCCTGAGGAACAAAATACCAGAATGACTCCAAATATCCATGAGTATTACTTCTATGGGTCAAGGGTTACTAAAAATGATAACTATCAATGATAATCATGTACCTCTTCGACTCAGTCATTGCTGGTTGTTTTTCTAGTTCATTCCGTAGACATTTATCGAACACTTACTGTGTTCCAGGCTCCGTTTTACATCTTCCTATTGGAATTGATGGACTCTTACCACATAATTTGTCCACTCACCAGTGAAGAAACAACCTTTATTGTTACAGATGCACCCTGACACCATACCATGAAGGGCCAACTTTCTGTGTCTCTTCATTGGGGAATAATTAACACGCAGAAGTTAAAATCATTTCCAAAGCACTGTTGTGTGTCGGCAAACATAAGGCCGCTCATCATATGATCACAGTTGGAAGTGAGCATTCTGAGAGAAAGCTCTAACGTGGCAGCTGCTTCCCCTGATCTCTCTCAAACACAGTCTCAAGAATGCTCACTGCTCAGTTGTTGTGTCTTAAATTTCACAGGGATGTTTATGCCACATAACTTTTTTCTTACAAAATGATGAAAAGGAAGTAAAAAAAAAAAATGTTTGGTAAAGAAAAGAGTTCAGATTTATTTAATCTGTCTGCAGATCTTCCAACCAGGAAGCAACAACTACAGGCTTTGAACCTTCTTGTCATCCTCCTGCCTGATGCAAACAGAGACACACTTAAGGTCAGCGGATTCATTTACATTAAATAGCCCTCAGAACTCAGCAGAGTAATTTCTCGTTATTTGTGGCAAAACAATGTGATGTTTTCATGGAAATGTTCGTAGTTAAGGCTATAAAGAGAAGACTGACTTTTAAAGATGGTGGAAGTTTTTAACTCTTCATTAGTGTATGTATTAGGCTAGTCATGTTAATAGTATTATCAGGTGTTTAATTTTTGCTGTAATGCTTCTACCAAAACCAGTGAGTGAAGTTCATTTTTTTTTTTTTTGATGGAAACATGGGTGCTTTGGTTTCTCCTTTTTATTTTTCTACATTTTCCAAATTTTATTTGATGAGCATATAGTAAGTTGAAAAATGGATGTTTAAAAAGAAAGTTGTAAGGCTCATCAAATAAAACCTACTGTTGCCTAAAGATGTTATATTTGTAGTTGTAAGCAGTAGAGTTTGAAATAAGTCATGATGATGATTTTGAAATGTTTGGTTAGCCAAAAGATAGACCAACTCAAACAAATTCTAGTTATTTCTCTAAGGGCTTACCCTGAGTTTTTGATTTACATCATCATTTCAAAGTGATTTGGTCTATATGATTTAATACCATTTATTATAAGCATTGTCAGAGGCTTTTATAATAATCAGTGGATTGCTCCACATTGATTTATTTTCTTAATAACAAGAGTTTATAGAGTAGTCGTAAAAGTTTAGTTATAAACTTACGAAAGAAAACGGAAACTTCTAAAATATAATTTAGAAAGAATATTTACCTTAAGTTTTGCCATTGCTTTAAAACTTATATATCTAATGGTAGAACCCTTGCCCCTTTACCCCCTACATTTCTTTCTGTTTAAAATGAAAAATCATGCCAAGAAATTTCATGTCAAGAAAACAAAGCCAGTTGTTAAATCTTGGAAGTTTTTCCTGTACCTTATTAAGACTCCTTGAACTGAAACTAGGTGATAGTTCTTTCATGCCCATGGAATTGAATGTTAATACTCAACTTTTCTGGATGAAAGAGTTTGTGGGGATTACTGGAGTAAAATCCCTGCATCTCTACAGGAGAACTTCCAAAGAGTTATTCCCTTTACTAAGTCAGGAAAAAAAAAATCTTGTGCTTCACTGATTGTTACATGCTGAGAAGGCTGCATTAAGTGTTGTTTTGGAGACAGAGACCAACTCCAGGAAGGGTTACATTTAACCATTGTGTGACCAGGGTTGCTGTGTAAGGGTAGATTGTGGCTGAAAGAGGACAGCGTGGGGACTGATTTCCAGTCTGCTTGTCAGCTGTGCCCTGACACAGAGCCCTGAAAGAGAAATTTAATCCATCTTTTTTCTTATTCACATAGAGGTAACCTGTCTGTGATGGCTCTGTGAATGACCAATATAATATAAGGCAGGCATTGAATGATACATGATTTACTTAAAACATGCCTGCATTCAAATGAGTACAAATATTTGTGAGAGTAAACACTTATTCTAGTATGGTTTCTATTGGGGCAAGGCTGGTCTACAACTCAGTTTTGGAATTTGCCTTCAGAGTCCCAGGCACATGCTTTTGAAAATTGTGTTTGAAGAGATATTGTCTAAAATTTTAGAAAAGCTTTAATTTTTGCATATAAGGTTACTGGGAGTACAGTTTTATAAATCAAGAGGGAAATACTTTTTTTGGAATAAAAAATTGGGAAATGCAAAAAATGTAAACTTAATAATTAAGTAATTAAGCTTTATTTAAGAGGTTAATTAGCTAGCCTTGAATGTTTCAAACAAGATTTCTAATAATAGAAACATTGAAACAGAAATGCCATATGTACGAGAAAATAAACCATTTACATTTAGTTCAAAGTAAGGGAAAACTCTGTCACAAGGTAATTTTAGGAAGCTTAATGCAAACTTCTCCAATTTTTACGAGCCTAGCGCCACTCTTTCAGTTGCTGTTTGGAGGACTGGGATCACGTGTATAACCTTTGTAGACTATTATTACAGCACATTAAAGGGTTAGGAGGCACTACATTCTCCTAGTACCATGTCCTACTTTAACCCTAAAGAGACAGATGTCTGGGCAAACTGCTTGACCGGGATTTTTTTGACCTTGGATTATTGTGTATTTGGATCATGATCATAACTATTTTTGACTTGGAGGAATAATGAAGACCAGCATTAAGATATCATTGGGGGATCCATGTTAATAAAATTATTGGTGTTTATTTTTATTTCTTTTTAGGAAGTTAGCTATATAATTGTCTTGCTCAATCCTGGCAGGCTGCGAGTTTAGTATTTCTGTTTTATGAGTAAGAAGACTTTAAAGGGCAGAGATGTCAAAAGTTTACCCTAAGATAAGTAACTGTGCTGGGACTCAAACTGGTTTTCAGGGAGTGGGTCCAGTAAGATTTATGCAATACCAGACTAGTGATAGATACTTCTTTTTAGAGGTGGGGGAGGGGCATAGGGAGAGAGGGAGAGAGAGAATCTTAAGCAGGCTCCATGCCCCTCGTGGAGCCCAACATGGGGCTCAATCTTATGACCCTGAGCTGAAATCAAGAGTGGGACACTTAACCGACTGAGCCCTGATACTTTTTTTTTAAATTAAAAAAGGTCAATTCTTCTATTTCAGGTAAAGAGAAAATATATCTGAAGATGAAGTGCTTTCAGCAAGGGCCAGGCTAACTTTTTATTAATTTCATATCTAAATACACAGAAACACATTCTAATATTATAGTAATGGTTTGAATAATCTTATTGCATATGCGCACCACAATTAAAATGGTTTATTACCTAATCTCTATAATTTATGCTTTGTAAGGAAAGAGATACACTGGTCCCTGAATAATTATTCTGGTCCCTGTAACAAAATTAAATCTTTTTTCCCAAACCTCACCAGTTAATCTTTTGTCCTCATTTGAGAAGGTATTGTTACTGTATAACCTTATGCTTGGATTATAGTTTAACTTTCTGAGAGCTGTACCAGAAATTAGATACATAAATCTTACTGCTAGATATTGAGGCTGTGCCTTTAGTTTGTTTCAAATGTTTGAAGTCTATATAGCAGCTAAACTTGATTTAAGATCCACCTGTTAACACAGGAATTTTTTCCCCCCTAAATCTTGTGAGAGATGAACAGTTTCTTTTTCCACTTCGGTATGGTTTATTTGACCTCTTTCAGGTTGGGATTTTAAACTAAATATGAAAACATGATTCTCTTTGTAGTTAAGAGTTCAGAAACAAAAGCCAGATAGACCTTCTCCACCATTTGCTAGCTCTGTGATCTCTGGTACATTCCTTAAACTCTCCACACCTTGTTTCCTCATCTGTAAAATGGGGATAAGTACAGCCTCTCTCTCGAGTAATGATTAGTGAGATGGTATCTATGATGTGCTTAAAACAATGCCTCGCTCATAGAGATCATCGAATACTTGTATCGTTGTTAGTGTTCTAGACCAAAATTAATTCAAGGAAGAAGGCAAAAGAAGAACTTAAAGCCTTAAGTCCTGTCAGGAAGGTGATATAAGTTAACCTGTGGCTGTTATGAAGGGCAGGCTCAGAGGACACAGGAGTGTTGGCAATAGAGGTGGGAGCTCGGTGGTATCAAAAGGAGCATAAACCAGCCTGTTCTGGTGAAAAGTTCCTTTTTATTTGTTCATTCAGTTTTTAAAAAACTCTCTTATCTTGGTCTCTCTTCATCCCCCCTTCCTCCACACGACAGTCTCCATTCTTTTTAGAATTCTTGTCAGCTAGCTATCGAGTACCTTAAAGCAAATGAAACTGAGGTTAAATGAGCCTTTCTAAGGGGGATTTATTTTTTAAAACTCCTAAAGATAAAAGTGAAGCACTTCCTGAAGCAAGGGAGTATTTGTAGGATATTTGAAACTGCCTTTCGGTGCTCTGTGGCTCCCGTAGGCTCTATGTCTGATGCTTCTCCATTCCTCTCCCCTCTGCCTAGTTCAGATGTGTGTCCTGTCTGCTTCATTCCCCTGTGCCATAGCCCTTCACAGAACAAAGCACCACCTCAGGGTGCTAACCAAATGGAGAAGCTTTGATGGCAAGGCCCATTGAAGGTAGCTGGCCCACTGTGGTTATTCACAACTTATTTGTTTTTAACTAAGTAAAAATCCCGTACGGGACAGTGCTTTAATCTCTTACCTTCATGAAAACACAAATCTCAAAGTCATTTCTGTTTCAGGCCCTGCTTGAATTTCTCCAAAGAGTAATAGACAATAGAGAGAAAAATAAGATGACAGCCATGAATGTAGCAATGGTCATGGCCCCGAATCTCTTCATGTGTCACACGTTGGGTTTGAAGTCCAGCGAACAGCGAGAATTTGTAATGGCAGCTGGGACAGCTAATATCATGCACTTATTGATTAAGTATCAGCAACTTCTATGGACAGTGAGTACATATTTTTAAGCTCTGTTAATGAGTGGTGATATCTAGCTTCTAAAGTCTTTTTAGAAAGGTTAGATTTTCTATAAAAAGCGAACCAATAGAGGTGATTTCAAGTGCAATTAAAAAAAAAAAATAATGTCCATACACCTGAAACTAAGATAACACGATAAGTTAACTACACTGGAATTAAAATTAAAAAATTAATGTCCACTTATTAAATCTCAATTCTTAAAATGCCAGCATTATTTCATTGTTTCAATTTGGTAACTTCTAAAATATTTTATTTTTGCTAATGTAATTTCTGAGGATCAGTTTTTCCTAGGTTATTGCTAGATCCCCGTCAGCTTTTATTGATTGGTGAGTTTTTCTTTGTTGTTTGAGGTGAGGCTAACTGGTTATCAGAAGGGACTGCAGGTTAGCTAAAGGCTATGTTGTTGACAGGTGGCTTCTAAAGGGACCACCTGTCAAGGTGGTGGCCCCTCATGCCAGTCACCCCAGGCAGTCCCTAATCTTGGCATATAAGGCATAGAAGATGGCCGCTATGTCCTTGAACTTTACCAAGCCTCTTTTTGAACCTCACTTACACAATGGGAGGTAAATTACTTCATGTGCATGCTCTGTACTCATGGTGAATGAATAATATGATGTATTTTTTTTCCATATTTAATGAATAGTGCATGTAAAATAGCATAGTCTTATGAAATGGACAAAACCTTTACTTCCCTCCACATTTAAAACATAAAGATCATTATTTCCATAGTTCAAAATGGTGCCACTTCTTTTTCCTCCCCAAACTTAATTTTATTTCTCTGTAGATTCCCAAGTTTATTGTCAACCAAGTGAGGAAGCAAAATACTGAAAATCATAAAAAAGATAAAAAAGCCATGAAGAAATTGCTGAAGAAAATGGCTTATGACCGAGAAAAATACGAAAAGCAAGATAAGAGTACAAGCGATGTAAGAAAAACGTGAAGATACGTATTTATGCAGATTTCAGTATTTTTACTATCGCACGCGCGAGAAAGAGTTTCGTATGTTTCTGCAGTAGTAGGGACTTTCTACACACTTACTGGGCCCTGGTACTAATTATTAAGTTAAAGTCCTCAATAAGAGTAACTGTGCTCCTACTAATGATCTGTATTAAGTTGCTCAGGTGTTGGTGACTCAGCATATGAACTGTTAATGGGGAACAAAGGAAAATAACAAGACCAGAATGTCTCAACACACACCCACCCACACACACACATAGGACTCTGGAGACTCCAGTTGCCCACTGAATGTGTAATCTCCACACAGCAAAGAGTCCCTGTGTGAACCACTGATCTTTTTTCTTCAGTTTTCTCATCTGTAAAAGGGGGAAGAATAACTAAGATAAACATATAGGTCAATGGTTGGTTATGCCTAGGATCCTTCCTGGGTTTCAGTAGGTACGGAAATGATTCTTCATTGGATCACTAGAAGAATTTGGTGAGATTTATGTTGGAATGAAGAAGAATAAAATGTTTCAAAAAAGAAACATCTAAACATCAGCATTTACAAACTGCTGTAAGAATATATTAAGAATTCGGTTTAAAATGATAAAATATACATGAAAACACATTTATGAAGTGAGTTACCAAAGCTCTAACTTAAGATCCTGAAATGAAAGGGTTTCTATTGTTCTCTTTACGGAGGAGACAACCCCCCCCCAACTAGCACCACCATTGAGGTTACTCAGTTACATGCTGACATCTTGTGGAATAATGTGGAAATGCAATTATCA